GTACATGCTGGCCACACAGCTTCCGGGCCAATAGAAATGCCAGCACAACAAAGACAGCCACCCGCAACCCCAACAAGGACCAAACTGGGCCTAATGGCCAGGGCAAACAGACAGATAGAGATTGGGACTGAGACGTCGCCAGCAGCGGATTTAAGTGCAAGTGATTTATGAGAGATGTGGCCAAGATGTGGGTGAGATGTGGGGCAGTACTAGAGAGCCATCTTCCGACAGAAAGCAACAACAAATTAGCCAAAGAACAAGATCGAACTACAGCCAAAAATCAATCAGAAAAAAAGCGTTGCATTAAATATTAAAGAAGCATTCGTACAGAAGGGTTAAGCTAACCCCAGTGGAGATTAAAGCCAATTCAATTAGTGCCTGCCCCTTTTGATACTGGAGCTTCTTCGTTTTGGTATAGGCAATAGTTTTTCCTTGCTCCCGTTTGGTCTGGATTCAGTTACAATTTACAAGTGGTCAATAGAGGCTAAGCGGACTTAAGGGCCAGGCCAAAGAGCAGAACGAGCTCCACCCCTTCTGTGTTCCTTCTGTGGTCAGTCGCGTGATGATAATTGAAAAGCACTCAACATGCTCAATGGTCAATTCTGGTCAAGCCTGGGCAGATGGAGATCGAAGGGACTGGGTAGATAGGATCAAATGCTGACTAATCGAGTTTAAAACAAGCGTAAATTGTCCTGTTGGCTTTTCCTTTTGATATCCGAGCGGACTTCAATGGCCTTTGCGGTGCCAAGTGCAGCGACTCCTCCGGGTAATTAATGGTAATTGTTCGAGCACTCGCTGGGCTTCCCTCAGGTGTTCCTTAGAGCTGGGAGAGCCCTGGAGCGAGGAAGATGTAGATGGAGGGGGATCCAGAGACACCTTTGGTTTAGCTCTGGTTCCTCGCCTGCATTTGCCTAATGACACAAAAGTAAAACGACCAACGGACTTTGTATAATTTTTTTCTTTTCTGTTAAGCTCTTAAACCGATTTGCAGCTTAGTTGAGTGGCACAGCCATAGGCAATGGGTCGGGGAGTATACGAGGCAGAGGAGTGCAAATATTTCACAAAAAAATTAACAAAAAAAGAAGGGAGAAACCAAATCATTGTGCGTATATGTTTCATTGGAAAAAATGCTTTGGCCAAGACAAAGACTCTTCTCTGGCTTTTTGGTGGCTTGTTTTGTGGCATTTTTACGGCATAAATTTCCATTGAATTGATACTTTTTGGTCGATACTCCCTCAACCCGCACACACAGTCAAACCACACAGCAGAATAAAAACAAATTTAAAAAAAAAGGGTTGACACAATCAGGTAGAGTATTGGCTCTGTCGGCTGCCTTCCTTTGAAGGCAACACTTGACTAGGGACACGGACTGGGGAATGCTAGGGTCTAGGGCCTAAGCATTAAAATTTCATTAAGATTTCAAACGTTTTTTTCGCCATCAAGGATTTCCTGGAACTGGGTAAAAGAGTTAAAATTCAACAATCAATATAATTCTTATGATAGAAATTAACTTTGTGAGCAGAGTTTTCTTTTTGTGGAGGATCCCATTGGATCGCTTTCGAGTGGGTATATGACAAAACCTCTTCTTCAATGAATTGGGAACCCGTCAGATTGGCATGTCTTTTCACGCCACCAGAATGCTGCCTGCCCTGTCCCCGGAGGTATCGCATTCAACGCTCTCGAGTCCCGAGTCTCGGGATTCGAGCCGCGATCTGACAGCCAGCCCGGACAGCCCCGTGCAATTCCCTCGACGAAACCAAATTCTGATCAAAAAATTGCTAACAAAAAAGAAACACACGAGAACATCAGATCAGCCGCAGACGAAATCTTGTGGCAACTGCATTGAAACATTAGCAGTGATGACATTTTTGCGGTCAAACTTCCCCCGTGGCCGCCTTCCCCTTTTTTTAAGCTGCCAGTGTCTGCGGAGCGTCTGCTGGCAGCTCTTGTTGGTTGCACAGACATTCCTGCCAACGCGACACTTCATACATAATAACAAAAGATCGCCAGATCACAGGGGCAGCTCGTCAAGCACGCACGATCCACTGCACAGGGCACAAACGCTCGACGTTGGGGCTTTTTTGGTACCCTTTTCAGGACGGAGGGTGTATTGGGTGGAAGATGCCCAAATATACTAGTGCCAACACCTGTGGGTATCATCTCGATTCTTGTAGCTATCATTACCCCTCCATCTTCAAGGGTATTCAAGGCTTCGCTACTATAGGAGCATCTTTCACGAATGGTTTTTTGGTACTTTTTGGGGCTTTGGGAAGCGGGCAGTTGTAGGGCTTTCGTGGACTGTTGGTTTATTAATTGTAGCCTTGGACTTGGAGTTGGGCCCGTCTTTGTTTCACAAATGAATGCACAAATTTCGGGACAGGTCTGCGGTGCGGTTTCGTTTGTGGCACAAAACGCAGACAGTATGACGACGCCGAAAGCCGCAAAAACAACAAAATATAAAAGTAAATTATAAGAAAGAAATCCTTTTGGCTAACTCGTATTTCGGTGGGCCCGACAGCCGTGAGTCCAAAGTCCCGAGGTGAGAGTGCGGCTAATGAGCCGAGGCCAAAGCCAAAGCCAAAGCCAAAGACCTGGATCCTTTTATACTTTTTATCTTACAGCTTTCGTTTGGTTTGGGTTTTTGTCTTCGATTTCAGAAAAAAACAGAAAAAACAAAACCAGTTCACGGAGAGTGGGAATGGGAGAAAGGGAGTGGATTGACTTAATGCCTATCAAATTATAGGTTTCTTCTGCTGGCTGGAAAATTGTGTGTCAGATTGTGCGAGCTGGCCGGGGCGTTGCTCAAGAAATTAATACAAAACTCATCCAGCACGAAAGAGCATTTTCTTCTTTGGCCTGGAGTGGAGCGGTGTGGAAAATGCCCTCTCAAGTTCGACTGACTTTGAAGAGCCCAGAAACACGCCCCAGGCAATCACGCAAAATGCCAAATTACATGTAGCTACCATTAACCGAACGAAATCATCTAACACGCACACACGGCAATCCCCAGCCCGGTGACGGAGAAGGGCCACAGAGGGAAAACAAACCCAACCGAAAACATGATGGAAAAAAAAGAGTCATTTAAGGTGTTTTACACGCGTCCCTCTCCGGCAGCTGTCCATACCGATCGGGTTTGCTGCTCAAATTTCAACAGACAGACTGGCTGAGCTATAGGGGATCTGGCGCACTTATGTCCTGTGATCCTTGCGCTGATGACACTCGAGAGGAGCACCCCCAGCTGTGGTACTCCCTCAGCGTCCTAAGCGGCTTACACGTGCCGCCCGCTCTTATAACTAAGGAAATACGATCCCAGTTTCTCTCAATTTACACCAACAGAAGCCAGAACTGTTTCATTTACTGGATCAACTTTGAACCAAGTATTCCCTTGCCTGCGTTGAAAGTCACATATTTTTCACATCGATTATGAACACTATAGTAGATAAGTATTATAAAGCTTCAGCTTCCAGGTTCCAGCAAAGCAAATAATCGCAACTCTCTCGAAATTATTCCAGAAATCATTTTGAGATCCATGAAAACTCAAAGACAGTTTGATCAATTGCATCGGGAAACCAGGGAACGCGACTGAAATAAAGAAAATTCCCTATCAGATATTTGTATGGTACGTCTAGTGGGACTTGTGTTTGGTTTTTCGATCAAGATGCAGAGGATCCTTTGAGGATGGGTGTGGAATGCTAGCTGAAATCTATAAAATGTCCCTTGATATAAGGGTTATCCTTAGGCGTTCTCCAGCTGTTCATTGGTATCCTTCGTGGGTAAAGCTCTCCAGAGTTCCGTTGACGATGGTCTTCCATTACTTTGGTGATGATCTTCAGCTTCGTGCTCCGTTGCTTCTCGTTCTCCTCTCCGCGACTTACGCACTAGTGTAGTCAGAAAAAAATCGATGTTGTTTTGTTTTATACTTTTCAAATATATTTTGGTTTTTTTTGTTTTTTTTTCTGTTTCTTCGTTTGTTTCATATAATTATTGGCTAACTCTTTAAACTTTACTCTGTACTTTTTGTTTTGTTTTTCTTAATTCTTCTGGGTTTTTGTTTCCTTGCTTTAATTATATTATTAGTATACATATAAATAATTAAAAATATTACATTAAAATGTATTCGTATATCGTATAGAAGTTGCTGGTTGTTTTGTTGGATTTATGTTTTAGTTTCTTTCTTTCTTTCTTAATTTTTGATTGCGTTTTTCGTCTCCATTTCAATTCTTCTCCTTTATAACATTTACTCTCATTTTACAATTTTGCTAAAAACTAAATAAAATTTCTTGTTTGTAAAAACAATAATAATTATTAAAAAATGTATGCTCAAATAAGTTGAATATTTACTTTTCGTATTTTGTTTGTTGTATATATTTTAAAAATAGCAAAAAGCAAAAAAAGCGCCTTTCCATCGACTTTTAAAACATATTTACGTATATTTTTGCATCATCTTTTAATTGTTAAGTTTACTTTTATGCTATTATTTTTACTTTTGTTATATTTTTATAAAATATCACCTAAAGCAATTACGTATTTCAGTTTCAGTATTTTGTGTTTGTATTTTAAGTTTATTTTTACAATGCAACAAAATTTTGCTTTTTTTGTGTGTTTGTATACAACTTTTTTGTTTTTGGTAGCAAAATATTTAATACAAAAATTAATAATGAAATGATTTCAACAAATATGTAAAAAGCTCACACAAAAAAAAATCATATCAGTTTTTTGCAACAATTTCTTGTTCAGTTTTTTAACTAAAAAGCAGCGAATTATGCTAACAGAAATGATTACATAATTACAGCAATTTTATATGTTTAATTTAAGTTTCTTACATACAAATTTTTGTTTAGGGTTTTAGGTTTTTGGGGTTTGAGACAAAGTACAACAACTATTTTTATTTTTTTTTTATTTCTGCAAATTTCTAACCTTTGCAAGAACATTTTCTTTTTAGTTTTGAAAAAATAGTACAAAAGCTTTACACGTTGTTGGTTTTTTTTTTGTTTGTTTTCATATTTTTGTGGTTTAGTTAGTTGGCTATAATAAACCGCTGGGAATCGGCTCGACTATAGTCTAAGTATACAAATGACTGCCCATATAGCTGAGGAACTGCTCTCGACTGAGGCAGACCGATTTAAGTACATTTTTGTGGTTTTTGTTGGTTTAGTAGTCTAGAACTCAAAATAGTAGTAGAAATTAGCAGAAGAAAGTGTTTGGTTGGTTTTGGTAGCTAGAAGAAGAATGGCTGCTAAGGTTTTCCCTTTTCTAGATTGAGTTTGGATTCCATTAGATTTCCTGTTTGCAAGTTTAGTTTAGCTTAGCATACAACTCCTAAGTTGAGGGGTTCAAGGGTTCAGGGGCTCAGAGGTCTGACTAAGAACTATATAACGTACGCTATAGTATACAATGGGGGATGGAGCGAGGGGTCTCTAAGTATCTCCGCTGAGCACCAAAAGCTGCCGCTCTGGATTCCGTGTTCACTAATTCAATTCATTAAATTACATTTAGCTTTCCTCTCTTCATTATATTTATATAATAATAATAGTATCGCGTAGTTTTCTTCTTTTTTTTCTTCTTTTTTGCTTTAGTAAATGCTTAAAGTTTGTTTAGTTTGTTGCTCTTGCTGTCGTAGTTTGTTTGATTTACGTATATCAATTGTTCTCGAAAGTGTCTCGCACGCTTCCTTGGCTCATTTAAAATGTCGTTCGTATAGGTGCGTTGCAATCCTCAATTAATTAAATTAACTTTAAGTTTCTTTTTGTTTTTTGTTTTTGTAATAAACAATAATGTTTTATTCGTATACTTTGCATTTGAACTCAGGTTGGGGTTTCTTTTCTGGTATCTCTTTTTACGTATATGCGTTGCATGATGAGAGTTGAACAAAAAAGATCAACGAAAATATTTTTTTCTTTTGTTTTTTGTGTGTTTTTTTTTTTGTTTTTGGCAAGTTCTCTTTGGTGTTGTAAAACACCAAAGGAAAAAGGACGTATTATTTTGAAAAATCGTATACACGTTGGCTAAGGTGAAATATTCCCAAAACAAAAATAAATTGAAACAATATAATAACTAAGCAAAGAAAATATGGATAGAAATTTCTAGGAATTTACTATTCTCTTAGCGTTTGTTCTCTTATCCCAAGTTTTGTTTTTAGATCTGTAAGCAGCAGCCTAGACTTGATTTTTAGTTACAAACTACATGGCTAGAGTTTATCTTTATATTATATAGTTTTCTTTATATATATATATAGAGAACGTTTTGGGGTTCGAATGGGGGGAGAGGTTTGGATCTGAGGTCTGGACTAGAAGTCCGCCTCGTGCTTGATGCGATAGCTGGCATAGGTCTCCTCCAGCGGTGAAAAATCTTGGGTGCTGGGCTGTGATCAAGTTCCAAATGATTGGCACAGATACATATACAACAGATATATGCATATAGATAGACAGAGAGAGAGAGATTTTAGAAATGATAGGATAGGACCAAAGGGACTCTGCAGTCTGGTTCTTGTGTGTGTTTTGTGGGCTATGTCAGTGTCGTTGTTGTTGTTGCTGTTGTTCTGGTGGTTCTTTGAGAGGGGACGAGGGGCTGTCAATTATTTACAAGTTTACAAACTCAAAGACCGATAACATTCATCGAACTGAAGCTATCGATCGCACTGGCTGACTGTACGCAAAACAGCTCGGAGTTAAAGAGTCGGGGCCAGCTTTCGTATATCATATCATATCATAGCAGTATACATATATAAATAAATATATATTTATACATATATGTATGCATATGTGGGGGGTATATATATATCTATATATAGTTTCTATATAGAGTTATGTGCATATGTAAAATTGTTAAAAATTGGTTAGTTTTGGGGTTAGTAAACTTTTTCTGATAATATAGGTTCATTACTTCAATTTTTGTTTCTTGTGGTTCGTGTGTTAAGTAAAGAAAACAATAAAAATAGTTGGTTAATGGTGTGTGAGTGTGTTGGGTTTGTTAATAATAATTAATAATATATTGGCGAGCTATATGGGCCTCTTGCAAAAACGAAGTTCTGGAACATTTTCTTGTAATTTAGTTCTCATTCTTTAGTTTTACTTGATTTCTTTCTCATTCTTTCAATGCTTATATTCTTTTCTTTCTAGTTGTTGGTACTTTTTACAAATTAAGCGAAATTGTTTGTTTGTTGCTCTAATTATTGTTGCTCAGTTGCTTTAGTTCTTGTAGTTTTGTTTGTTGTTTTGTAGTTTTTACTCTATATCATTTACAATCTGCTTGGTTGAGATGGACAGTGTGTGTTGTGAGAGAAAGTGAGATAGACTGACACAGCTGGGCATGCAGGCGCACAGTCGTCGGTCACTTTGTGTTAACACTGACTTTCCTGATTGTGGCCTTGCATTCGCAGCTGTTTCGGAACTTAAATTTATGGCCTGTACTGTACACAGAGGAGAGCAAACGAAGTCCAGCAGTAGCAGTGTCATCAGCAGTAGCATAAATAGCAGCATCAATCGTCAATCGTCGCTCGGTGTAACTGTTCGCGCAGTTCAGTTCGATTCTGTTCGTTTGGGGTGTTGTTGTTGTTGTTGTTGTTGTTCGGGTCAGTTCGGTTTGTGGTGTGGTAGGAGGGCCGAAGCCGCTTGGAAGCTCGTTTGTCGCTTGTCGCATGTTTGTTCTTGTTGTTTTGCGGTACTTTGCTGTCTGTGTTATCGTGGTCTCTGTCTGGCTGCTGCTGCGTGCTGCTGGGCAGGCATCCTCGCCATGGCTGTCGCTGTCGCTGTCGGTAGTGCTAATGCTTCTGCTGCTGCTGCTGCTGCTGCTGTTGTTGTGGCTGCTGCTTCCGCTAGGCGTTCCTTTGCTCTCCCTTTCGCTTCTATGGATAATATTTTGTTGTTTCTGTTAAGTTTGCTTTTGTTTTTGCATTCGCTTTGCTTTTGCTTTGCTTCTGCTTTTGCTTCTGCTTTTGCTCTTGACTAATTTACAATGTGTGTGTGTGTGTTTGTTCTTGACGTACAACTTCTTCTGCTTTTGAATTTTTGGATTTGAATTCATCAATATTAATATTCTGATTATTATTGGGTTCTTTTTATTTGAGTGAATGCTTCGCTTCGTGTCGCTGTTGCACGCTGTTGTTCTGCTGCTGTGGCTGCAACAGGTGAATTAATGTGACTTAATTTCCTTATGCAGGTGGTAGCAACATCAGCATCAGCATCAGCTCCGCGCGGCATCTCTTGTATCATTGGATACACGTGGCTTTAGTCATTGATTGATTGATTTTTCGATCATTATCATTATTATTATTGATTCATTTAATCCCAGGGCATTGTGAGCACCCGCTTCGTTTTTGCAAGAAGGTCGTTATCGTACTACGAACATGGGTGCACCACCGCATTGTAGCTCGCCAATATAGGACCATGTGCTCCCGCGAAGGGGGTACTCACAACGTCTGGTGTACTAGCTCCATCGGTGTGCGATGTGGAGTCGGCGTTACTCCGTCCCTCACCATTTGCCGAACCGAGTTCTGGTGGTTTGGTGGTGTCCCGTTCGTCGATCACTAAATCTATTGGCATTTTACCCTTTAAACACGAGATATAGCGGTGACAGAAGTTGTCGCACAGTTCGTGTACCTGCAACGAGACATTCCCGCGATCATTTCAGAGCACAGAGAAGAGAGAAGAGGAAGAGAGAGAAAGGAGAGAGAGAGAACATGAGTATGGGTTCTTCTTTGGAGTACGATAACACTCCAAAATGTCACTTAACATCTAATAATTGGGTTTGGGTTCGGGGTTGGGGTTGGGTGTGCAAGGGTGGTGCTGAAAAGTTATAAATACATTTATCATGGGGGAGTGGTGGATCTTACATACTTAAACTAAGCTTAAACATTGCAATACCTTCACAGAAAGAGAGAGAACGAGAAAGAGAGATGGGCAGACAGCTGCCACACTTAGCGCCATTGAATTCTTGCCACGCCAAGCTTAGCGGCCCAAAACCTGCTTCCTCCATCGCCTTGCAAATGGCATGCAAATTGCTTTTGATGCGTTGCCCCAGACACGGGCACAGGCACGGCCACAGGCACAGGCCCCAGACCCCCAGACGAAAGCGCAGAACCCGGCAAATGGTTGATGATGGCACTCAAAAATGGCCGTAGACAACAGCTAACCAAAACCTGGCTCAGAGCTTGACTCTCTGTCTCTGGTTCTGGCCGCATAAATATGCATAGAGACTCGGGGGCCCGAAAAAGAAAGAACAAAATAATGCATTGGCCAAAAAGGAAGTGCTGGGGCAGCCAGGCTTAGCCGCTGGGCACACTTTTAAGCATCCAAGCAGCAACATGAGGCAGCACGTGCAACATTCACATTAGCAACATGGAGACGCACTCGCCGACCACAGATAGCCGTCCAGGGAGAAGATCACTGGCGTCAGTCCAGAGCCAGAGCCAAAGCCAGACCGAGGCCGAGACCGAGACCAGGGCCAGGCCTACAAAATGCGTTTTTAAAACCCTGTTGTTGCTGCTGCTCTTGTGTCTGTGGCAGTGATGTTGCAGGCAGCGTCTCTGCCTCGGTGTGTGTGATAAAACAAATGCGATAAGGCCAAAGTGAGTGTGAGTCAGGCACGGCAGGCAGGCAAGCAGGCAGCCAACAGGCAACGGCGTTGGCGGAGGGGGAGCCAGCCGAGGAGGCACATATGCAAATATGCAACAAAGAGAGGAATGCAGCCGCCGCCACGGCTAAAAAGAAATTAATTGCACTGGGCTATGGCAGCAGACAACAACAGCAGCAGCAGCAACAGCAACAGCAACAACAACAGGGTGCTCCATTTAGCCGGGGCCAGGCATTTAATTTACGAAAAAGTGCGCGTTGCTTATGCAAATTGTTTGCTGCTGTTGCTGCTGCTGCTGCTTCTTTTCTTCATTTTTGTGGATCGTCTCTTTTTTGGCCTGCGAAAGCTGCAACAGTGGCTGACTGGCGGGATGGCTTTCTGGCTCTCTGGCTGCTGCCACTATTAACTTGTTGCCCATTGCCCAAACTTGTCAAACTCGTTTGCAGGCTGCTGCTTTCAATGTTATTGTCACCAAAAAATACAAAAAGATGATGATAAAAAAAGCAACGGCCTGCAACTGGTTTATGACAGGACAATGTCAAATTTGTCGCTGTTGCTGATAAGCAGACCCAGCAGCAGCAACAACATGTTGCAGGCAACATATCAGTGTCCCAGTCCCAGTCCCAGTCGAAGTCCAAGCTTTATGTTTGTGTATTTGCTGTGTGGTGTAGCTGTCAGAGAGACCATAACAATATCCATAAAGCTTGCAATTAGCACGCCAGCAACATGTTGCCGCTGCCACTGCAACTGCACACATGCAACATGGGCGCACACACCAAATTGATATGTTGGAGAAGGGCCCTTTGGAGACTGCCAGACTGGCCGAGACGATGCTGGGACGCTGATAACTTTTGATTAATTTGTCAGCATTGTATGTGACATTTTCGAACGGCTCATTGCGATATTTATGACTCGCGGGGCCCCCATGATGTGGCTGCCGTTGCACATTGCTGCTGCACATTGGGTGGGCTGGCGCTGGGGCTGGGGCTGGGGCTCAAGCAGCAAGAGGGAGACGGACAGTGACAGCAGAGAGGGCGTTGCTTGTTAATGCCACACTCGTTTGTACATCCTGTTGGGCAGCCCCTCTGCAGCTGCCTCTTCTGGCCGGACGGTCTACTAAGTGCAGAATCCAATCTAATCGCAATGCAAATCGCTCCAATCTGCGCAGTGGTAATTCTCGATTTCCGCTCATAGATTAGAGCATTAAGTATTCCCCCCCAACCAGATTCAGATTCAGATTCAGAGTCACACGCAAGCCTCCCCACACACACACACGAGTCGCCGTCTAACAAGTTCCAGCTCGGACTCGGCTCTTTCTTCTTGCCACTGACATTTAAATGAAATGTAATTAAAAATCATTTGAAATAAATAAATGTTTGTCAGCGGGGGGGCCTGATCCAAAGGCGGGTAGGTCTGTTCTCTGCTGTCTGTGGAAACTATTCCAAATCGCTGTAACCTGTTGTCTATTCCAATATTCAAATATGGATCTTCCAGCTCTATTTCTAGACATTGTAAGTGAATATTTTTGCAAGGTTTTGCGTAGCAACAATTCCATCATTTCAAATCTTCTAAAAAATCTCCCCAATCTGCTGTGTATCCCTTAGCTTGCATCATCATCATCATCATCATCGGGCAAACCAAAAGTATACAGCTGTCGAAGTCGATGTCGCTGTTGTTGCTGTTTGCTGTTGCTGGTTCTGGTGCTGGCGATCCCAAAGCGATCTGGCCAAGCCATCAAAACAAGGCCCCCAAATCGGTGTTGTTGCTGTTGTAGTTGCCCCCATGCCGGCATTACCCCAAACCGATTCTCTGGTGCTGGTGGTGCTGGTGGTGCTGCTGCTTACCCCCTGCCGGAGAAGCGTGTGCAACTGACCCAACGTGTTGTCTCGACAGTGTCTCAGTGTCTCTCCGTCCATCAGTCTGTTTGTCGCTCCGTCTATCCGTCTGTTCGTCTCTCTGTCTGTTTGTCAATTGCAATGCCTGCCTGAATGCTGTATTTTTTGTTGTTGCTGTGTGATGTTTTTTTGTTTCGTTGTTTTTTTGCATGTGACTCTGTGACGAGAATTGTCCGTGTGCTGGGGATCTGGGGAGCCGTAGAGCTGGAGCTGGCACTGGCACTGGCACTGGCACTGGGACTGTGCCTGTGCCTGGAACTCTCGAGCTCCAAGCTGGGCCTGAGACTGGGACTGAGGCAAACCAGTTTTGACAGACACAAGTCTTGAAACGTCTTTTTAACTGATTCTGTTTTGTTGCTGGTGTTGTTGTTGTTGCTGTGGCAACAAATATGCACAGATACAGATATATATAAAATGTACAGATCTACTGATATACATACATATATATATATATATACATACATTCGTACATATAGATGTAGTATTTCAGTTGTTTTTGGTTTTGTTTTGTTTTGTTTTTTTTTGCAAGTCAGCCCGCACATTTTATTTAAGTATATTTTGTATTTCTTTTCATTTATTTCGTTATTGTTTTTTTTGTGCGTTGTGTTTTGTAGTTTTTTGTATTTATATTTATTTTATACGCCAAAAATCGACCGCTGCATTTTGTTGGCTGCATATAAATGAATGTTGCCGTTTTGTCTTTCATGTACAAGTTGCTACAGTTCTTTGTGCTGATTGTTGCAGTTGGTTGTTGGAGTTGCAATTGCTGTTGTTGGTTTCGTATGTGTCGCAAGCTGTGTGAGTGACAAATGACAAAACAAAAACCTGTCGTGGACTCTCCAGCTCTACCGCTGCTGCTGCTGCTGCTGTGATGTTGATAAAGATCTTGACTCTTTCTGGGTCCCCGTGTGGCTGTCTCTTACCCGCTGTACAGGGTGCTGCCTGCAACAAATTGCAGCTGGCTGACTGACAGACAGCAAGACAGAGTGACTGATGAACTGACGAACCGATGAACTGATCAACTGACTGATCCACCAACTGGGCTAACTGATCAACTCACTTTCCTCTGTGCGACTTGTCTTAGTTGCTCTAGTTTTGGCCTGGCCTAGAAAGCGTTTGTTTGGTAATTAACATTGTCCATAGCACTAATTGCAGATTGATTGACTTCTTCGACTGTCCGAGTATCTGCAGAGCCACGTTTGATTCGTTTTGTTCGTCTGATCGGTCTGTCATTAGCCCCATGGCCCACTCTCCATGGAGACACAGCATTCCACAGCAAATGACTCGGATATTCGAGTCCCGTCGCCCCTGCACCTCCGCCTTCCAAGTCTATATTCTCCGAGCGTTTTGTCTTGTTTGGTTTTGGTTCAGCTTTGCTGTTCTTTTTTCTTTTTTCATTTCAACTTTGTTGTTTTTGTAGAATGTTTTGCATAATTTCTTACTTAAGATTTAATTGAAAAAAAAAAGAGTGAAGAGAGACTTGGTCTGGGTCTGGGGGCTCTTCGGACGGGTTTTGGCCGGGGCTTAACTACGGAAAGCCGGGGCTCAGCCTCGACGCAGCTTCGACTTGGAGTCCGACTTTGGGCTTCAGTTTGGGCTGCGACTTCGACTTCGGCTTCGGTTTAGGTTTAAGGTTCGCTCCACGCTTCGTTGCGCATTTGCCTAATTAATTTTCTCGGCACAGCACCAGCGACAGAAGGGAGTGTGGGGTGGGGCTGGTAGGGTAGATCGGGCAGCATTAATTACGACCACGTTTGAGGAACAACTTCCATTAGGGCCCAGAATGAGAGACACGCACCCGAGTGTCCGCCTGCCCGTCCGTCCTACTCGACTCTCTTGCATATTATTTGAAATTAAAACAAATTAGGCAACCTGTAATTTTTCCATTTAGACTATAAAGTGTCTAATAGCCAAGTAGGTGTTGTAGGAGAGCAACCCACCCTTCAAAATAAATGAAAACTTTAGTCTGCAAACTAATTTATGTGGCCCTCTCTTATCATGACTGAAACATCTTGGAATTCTATGTGGCACAGCACAGTCTGGTCGGGCCTGTGGATGGATGGGCTGAAGGGGGAGGCAGTCATCACACCTCATGTATCAACAACAAAAGGGGAGCCGAAAACTGAATGCATTCCATTGTTCGTTCGTTGCATTGCAACTGCAGCACAACAAATGGAAAACAAGGGAAACTCTCTTCTTTTATCTTACGCATGAAACTGTAACCAGCGACAAACAACTGCAACAAACACCTGCCTGCCGCAGTGCCACAGTGCCACAGTGCCGCTGGCCAAATATTTGTTGCCACAAAACAGAAATAAAAACTAATCCCGGCACACACATCCTGTTCCAGCTACAACTATTCCACTTTGATTGGCAATTAATTCAATTCAATTTTCAGCTGCATTTTTGTTTCTGACTTTAATTTAGACATACTGCAAGTGTATTAGACGGGCCAGAGATATATGGTCGCCTGCTGTGGGACCGCCGATCCCCTCCTCTTGCGCCCATGCCCCTCCATTAAATGTCAACACAAATGTTGGTAATTGAAATGCGCGCCCGCTGGAAACTATTTTCCCTCCATTTTTGCTGTTGCTGTTGCTGTTTCTGTTTTGGCCTGGTTTATTTATTAGCCTGGTCGGGGGGGTCCATGTCTGATCTGTGTCTGGTCCTGTTCCCGGTACTGCTCCCAGTGTGTGTCCGCGGCATTTTGGGTGGTCTTTTTTGGGGCGTTGATAAATGATTGGAGCCGACTCCTCGGCCTACGCCTGTCATTTTTGCCGTTAATTGCAATGACTAAACAAATGTATTTGCCTTTTCGTGTCTGGTCTCGTTCTTCGCAAGATGATTCCGCATAAATGTTGTCGAGTACTCGAAGGTATTGCAATGCTTAGGCCTTACTCTACGTAATTGATTCGAGGAATGTTCATGTTTTACTTACTTTTTCTAATTCTAAAAGGTGAAACCGAAGTACTTGTATTGCTTGCACCATCTGCAAAGGGAAAAGGAAGAGCAATTAAATATGTGGATAATCGTGGAAATACGAGCAGATTTACTATTAAACAAACACACACTCAATCACGCATACACCTCATTCCGGGGAGCCCTAAAAGTCGTTGGCTTTGGGCTTTGGGCTTTGGGCTTTGCTTACTTCACCGGACCGCACCGCTAATTAAAACATCAGTTTGACATTTGACATTTTTACGATGCTGCTAACTGCTCAACTGCTGCTGTGTGGCCTGGCCTGCATTGGTTAGGCTGGCTCTGGCGGTGCTAGTGGTTCTGGTGGTTCTGGTGGGGCTGGCTGGCTACTGCTACGACTGACAAGAATTTCATTTAACCGCGCTGCTGTATGCTGTATGCTGTGTGGTGCATGCAGCATGCTGGCACTCCTAGTGCAACGCAGCAGAAGACAAGACATGCCATAAACATTTTTATAGCAGGCGACCTCAACTGCTTGGGTTTTGTCTGGTTCTTCCTTTAAGTAAGTGTTACTAAATGCACTTTTAAATGTTCAAACACGATAGCGGATGGCGGATGGCGGATGGTGGCTGGTGGTCGGCGGCAAAGAAGGCAAACCCAACCACAGAGTGGCATGCCAAAATGATTTATGGCCAAAGTACGCAGTCGCAAGCGAGGCACACATATGGAGGATGGCCATGGCCAAGACGCGAGAGATCCGCCAGACGCAGTCGCAGACTTCTCCCAGGGAGGAGGTGGGGCCATTCATTCGGGGGATTGGGTGGCCTGGGCTGGGCAGTCACTGATTTTGTACTACAACTAATAAACTAATCTGCAAGTGCATAAAATTAGGGCCACCAGAAACCGCTCTCTCTCTCTGCAGAGTCATCTGTGGCAGATGCAACTTCTGGTGCCCTGAGTGAGTGGGTAAGTGAGTGACACATTTACGACTGCCGAGAGTCGTTCGAGTGCGGTGTGGTGGCAATTAAAATTAGTTTTGCCCATAATCTCTTTATATGTGTGCCAGCCCAGCCCAGCCCCAGATCTGTCCGAGACGAGAGCAGGCCAGGCCACAGCAACTGTTCTCCATTCTCCATCCACCATCCGCATCTTCTTCTGTTAGCTGCGCTGCTACCCAATTGCATGGCTCGTTTTGCACTTTTTGCACGCGGCATTTCCGTCTTGATTTACATGCCAGCCGAAATGATCTCTCGCTCCCCTTATCCCACTCTGACTCATGGTGGGGCCATTAAAAATGTTATGACTCGGATGCCAGCGGAATGCCAGGCAGAAACTGAGCAAAAGAACGATGAAGAGCGAGAGAGGGCGAGAGAGAACGTGGGAGAAGATGAGAATAATCTGATGGGCTTTTGGCTGGATAATGCCTTTACGCTGCGCATAAAAATTGAACCATTTATTCCATAACTGGATTATGGAAACATCATTAAGGAATATATTTAGTATTTATAACATTTAAAACTGTTGCGGGATTATATTATCTTTCCATCTACAGGGGGTTTCCCTCAGTTTCCCCAAAAGACATGCTCAAAATACTTAAATGTTTTATGACTCCTATGGCTATAATATTTAAATCGAGTTTCCTCTGCTCTGATGTTCCTTTACGATCACTTCCTCTCGAAGATTATCATACGATACTCCCGTGAACTGGGATGTCCTATAAAAATGATCATGATCAACACCAAGGTCTTGCCCTGGTCTTGTTCTTTTGCTGCTGGCATTTGCCTTTGCCTTGCTCGGAACTGCTGTTAATCTTCTCCTGCACCGCCACGCCACAGCGCAGATATCCCCACTGCCCCGCGGCAGTAAAGAGATCCGAATGCATATTCTACAATCCTAAAGCCGTTGGCTTCATTGTTGTTGCTGCTGCTGCTGCTGAACACCCAAGGCTGCAGGCAGCCCATTTAGAGAGTGCAAAAATGTCATATGCATCATTAAATCGTTCTGCTTCATATTGTCGTTCGCTTGGGTTCGTTCCCGCTCTGCCCTCTGCCTCTCCCTCTCCAACGCTACCACACAGCGGCATGCAAAATGCGTTCAGTGAGAGCAGAGCATAAAGAGAGGGAGAGAGAGAGAGAGAGAGAGAGAGAGAGGAAGAGAGCGAGCGAAGTGAGAACGAAAAGTATGGCAACGCTGTCCGATAAAATGTCTAAACAACTCAGTTTGTCCCGCTCCAACAAAGCAATGATCTCCACTGCTGCTGCCTGCTGCCTGCTGACTGCTGGCTGCCTGCCTTTGATGAACAAATGCTCATAAATTGTTCGTTCGTTCGTTGATGCTTTGCTCTTTTGCTAAATTCACTGTGATTTATTCTAAATAAAAGAAAATTATTCAATTGTCGTCGTTGTTTTGGGTCAAGGTGATGCACACTCACACACACACACACGGACACAAGTTCAAAAGCAAAAGCAAAAGCAAACCATGTAGCCATGATCTTTGGCATGGCAACATGCTGCCAGAGGAGCGGCAACATAGTTGCTGTTGCCTTTGCTTTTGGTTTTTTGTGCTTATTTTCTTGTATGTTTTTGCTTTTGTTGTACTTACCAGTGAGTCGACTTCGGGATCTGCGGTATAATAGGGTTTCTGTGATCTTATCTGCAAGAAGAGAACGGAATGAGAAGAGAATTAGAGTTAGTGAGTGTGAAGTTTGCAATATAGACAGCAGGAAGGAAGGCAGGAAGGCAGGAAGGAGAGAGCTTCGAATGCCAACAGCTGTCCTGATCCAAAACATAATCATCTACTATTTTATGATGGTCTTTGGAGAGCCGATAAGGCCGAATGCCTAGGCAAAATATTGTACACATTATAAAACTACAACAACCATTAGCAAATCGGTTCCAAAACAGACCATGGGAAACGAAACATTTGCTCATCCATTGGAGCACCACACGGACACGGACACAGCCACAGCCATAGACCCAGTGCCAGTGCCAGTGACAGTGTCAGACCCGAAGAGGTGACGGTGACTCGCCTGTGACCATAAAAGAGATTCTCGTTTTTATAGCCACCCCGAGACCGAGACCGAACCGAGCCGGAGCCCGAGCTAGAGCCCAAGCCCCCGACCAAAGCCATGCCAAAGCAAAAACTACATGTGGATATAAAAATAAACCACACACTTAGATAAAAATCACAAAAGCAATATCTGGCTAGATAAAATACCACACAGACCGGAGCAGACCGGAGATGGAGACCCAAACCGAACCCCGCGACGACAGCAGAAGGTCATCATCATCGCATCGCATCGGATGGCATCCGAAAAGCAGCTGAAAATGCTGCGCGAATTATTTGAAATTTCTTTGTTGCTGATATTTTGTGTGTTTGGCTCTCACGGAACTGCCACACACCAACTGCGCAGCCGTAATAAATGGCCGAGACAAGCTCTGGGTCTTCACAGATCACACCCCCGCTGCGATCTTATATAACGGGGCGACCTTGTCCAAATGTGATATGTTTGCATGGACTCGACCACCCAGAAACACATGCAACAAGGTTGCACTGAAGGCGGGAGGTCCACAGCGGATCGGAGTTGTCTTTTCTCTGGATTAAGTACGTGACCCTGAACCGAACAGTAGGTATTATTGATCTGCGTTTCCTGCTGTGCAAAATCCAACCATCAGATTTTGAGTTCATATGCAACGAAGATCAGTTAAGGATCGTTGATGATAATGAGTGAAGATCCTTAAATGTGAGACGATTAAGCAATACAGATCCAAACATATATTGACACACTTTAAAATTCCAATAGAAAGTCAACCCATGCCCTACTGATCTCCGACAGTTAAACGTGCAATCTTCTGAAGCAGCAACAGCAGCAGCAGCCCACATACAGATACTACTCGAACAGCTACAGCTACAGATACAATGGCACCCATGTCAGAGCTTACTGCCAGTCGTCCAAGGCAGTAACGGCAATTTGAAATCAACTGAGGCATGTGCAGCTAATAATTACACACTTTGCACACAGACAGACTGACAGGCAGGCAAAGCGACTACAAGTACAAGTAGGAGTACGAATGCGAGTACGAGTCAGAGTAGATCGCTGGGGAGTTGGCTGGAAGTGGTAGACTTTTAAGACGAACGGACAGACAGACCCACAGAGTATCTAGATATGTGGGCACTTCCATTCGTACCGTACAATGGTTGTATGAGAAAAACGCCCCATTGTGCGGCTGCAACAACAGCAACCATAATACGAGCAACAAACACACAAAGCACAGCCATTGAAGACGACGACGACGACGACGACGACTACGGCGATGATGACGATCAAGGAGGAGGTCGACACAGCGACCGCGGAGCAGGAGGAGGTTGCGTGTTGGGTATTTTGCAAAAGTTGTTGCCTGTTGGCTTTAATGTTGCATTTTCAAATGCTGGTTGGTGGATGGTGCTGGTGTTGCACACACACCCAGGCACTCAGTACAGGGACGTGCGAGAGAGAGAGAGAGAGGGACAGTTGGGAGAAGTTGCCAAACTGGTTTTGCCATGCAGGTCTGAGTTGGCCCAAAGTCGCATGGAGTGGCCAGGTCGCGCTTTAGCTTTAACTGATATGAGAAGCAGTCAGCCAGAAGTTGGCCAGGCATATTGCACGCACTTTGCTGGATGCGCCCCAAAATGGCTGCCCCAAAAACCTTGAGGAGCGAACAAATCTCTCCCAATCCTGCCTCGCAGTATCCCTTCTCACTGGAGTGCGAGAGTGTTTTTAAAAATATATAAATCATGCCACCAACTAGTAAAATGCACAGCATGAGACAAGTCTATAATTAAACCCGGGACGGCAGTTGGGGCGTGAAAACTAAATGGGAATGGAAATGGGAATGGGAATGAAAATGAAATGCTTTTCTCGCTTTCTTTCCATCTTTCTGTGATGTGTGTGCGCGTTCCCTTACAATTCTGTCAACATGCAGCAGTGCGTGGGCGTCTCTTGCAGCTGACAATTTCATATTTATAGTTGAAGAGATAGAAACCAACACACAGATACAGATTTCCGTATAAATAAATATAGTCAAGTCCTCTATTGCCCGTCTTATTTGGGATCTCCAATCGCATATTGGGTGTGCGGAAAGCCCCCAAAAACAAATCGCCAGAGCAACGTCACGCGCCCCCTTCCAACCGAACCGAACTGAACCGAATACCCACTTCTAATCAGTTTCACATGAGCCGCTCATAAATTTCTATACTTTTTTTTAGCCTGCTGTTCTTTTTTTTGCCTCTGTTTTTCCTTTTTGTTTTTTTTTTGTTTTTTTGCAATTCCCCAATGTCGAGAGGCGACGACAGGCGAAAAGAAATCACTACTGTTTAGATACTGCTCTTCAGAACAGTTTTATGATGCCAATAAATGCAATTATACAACACAAAAAAATGGTTTACAATGTCAACGGCAGGCAAGGCAACGGTTGGCAGTGACGGCGATGGACGGACAGACGTCTGTCTCCAAATCGCTGGCCCGAAAGATACAAAAATAAAACCCAAACTGGCCCGCGTAGGTGGTCATAAATTTCCCCCCTCGAATGTGTGATTATGCGGGGGAAATTTTGAAATCAATTCCGCTTCATCAAACTGCACAGCAACGCCACGTGCTATCATGTGGCCATCATAAGAGCCTCGACCAAATAAATATAGTATCAAATAAAATATTAATATGTAAGAGCAAACTTATGATTCAATCAAAATTCTCTTGCCACAATTAACGAAACATGAGACACGTGTGCCGGGAGGGGGAAAGTGGAACGAAAACTATGCCATTAAATCGGGATTCATAAAGAAAATAAATACTCATATTCAGTTTTCTTGAGTTTGTTTTAGCTAGACTATATTTTTTATAGTGCCAATACAGCTAGGAGGAATTTTATAGCCCCGCGACCTGGCGTTGTGTGCTGGCCATAAAATCATCCACGGCCCTGCGCCTGGGTGGGTGAGTGAGGAGATAGAGCCCCATAGACCAGTCCTACACCCAACAGTAGCAGCAGCGGCAGCAGCAGCAGCAGCACCAACAGAAGTGTGTGTGATGGTGGAAGGCACTTGAGTAATGTGGCCATAAAGCCCAGTAACAACCCCCAACCCTAGTCCCTGCTCCTCAGTCTCTGTACCAGTCGCTGTCCGGGGACCATAAAACAATTTATGCACTACACCGACTTTTGGAATCAGCGCTGGCAGCACAGTAGCTAGAGTTGGTGTTTACGTCGTCGACATTGTCGATCGCCGTTGAGCCTTTGCCCACTTGAGAAAACAGTGCAGTGATAACAGTGATAAGAAGAATTTCAAGACAGAATTCAAGACATACGAAAAACAAAGGAAATTGAAAGCAAAACTTTTGCTGAATTCTGAAATAAATTCCACCGAAAACTATTTTCTGGAACTCCTCCATCTCTTATTAGAGAGCGAGCCAAGGGACAGCGGGAGGCATGGAGGCGCCTAAATTGCAGCACGTAGCAGCACATTATGTACAATATTATTTGAATGTTGCGTGCCACGGCGCCAGCCTCATGCGGGTCGGTCCCGTTGCCCCCCAACCACACCAAGCAACTAACATTATAAACAAACACAAATACAAACAAAATATTTGAGAGCGTGAAACGAGGGAGCGTCTGCTGGAATTTTATCAAAATTTGTATCTCACTTTGACTCGCTCTCCCGCTCTCTAGAAAAGCCACAGAGAGGCCGGCAGTTAGCTCTTCTGTAGGATTCTGCAGTGATCTATCAGACAATGTTGTTGCGGTCACATGGCGATGATGATGATGATGATGATGATGAAGAACGTCATGGAAATCACTGCTCATTCACTGCAAAAGTGCACTTAGCTTTAAGTGAAACCAAAAACCGAACCGAATAGCGCCAAAACCCTATCGAATTTCTCACACCTACACAATGGGCGAACGGACTCACAGTTAGGCAGCTAAAAGCACCAAAAACAGGGACAAAACAGAGGGGGGATATTGGATGTTATAACAACTCAATTGATGGCTGCTTTCATTGAGTGAGAGAGCGAGAGAGCGAGAGAGAGAAAACATTCCGAGAATTTTATGGCTGAAATTTTGAGGGGCTCCCCCTCTTGTGGTCTACGCCACTGTGCTGTAACCCACAAAAACGCATGAAAAAAGCACACAAAAACTGAACAATAATAATTTTGTTGTAATACAAAACCAAACTTTATTTGCCTAGCTGATGACGCTGACGATTATCGCGATGATGATGATGATTATGATAGTGATGATGATGTTGGACTTGTTTAATGTTGTTGATTACTTTTACCCGACATTAACATCCAAAAGGCAAACACAAACAGAACAAAAGCAAAGGCGCATCGCAACGTAACGCATCGCAGTGTAGTTGTTGTTGTTGTTGTTGTTGTTTTTTATCTATCTATCTATCTTTATAATGGGCGCACAATATCGGTAGTAAAAGAGCCACAATTGAGGTGACACAACCGGGCAGAGAGAGCCTGGCAGCAGAAGCAGTCAAGAACAGAAACAAAACCAGACCCAACGCAGACCCCCCCCACTGGCAGTTTCTTTTTATAACCCCACAGAGAGGGACAGAGAGGGACTCCTCCATTCCATTCCACTCCAGTTTACGACCCGAAAGCAAACGGTGAACGCAATGTGGCAGCTACTGCCGCCACAGCAGCAGATACACTTCTAACGCTCTTGTGGCAGACGGGGCAGAGTGTGTAAACATTGGCAAACAGCACCCAGATAGACACACAGGCGGACAGACGCAGAGAGTGTCAATATTTGCATGGCCACAAGAGATTTCTCGGGCACTTCTTACCTGCACCACAGAGATAATCATAATATTCGTGTCTCTCCGCTCTCTCTCTCTATCCCGAAAAGCTATAACATCCGGTCTTACTTCTGCCTGATAATCATCCAAATAACTATATACGAGCACTCGAGCAACGAGTGTGCGAGTGTGTGTTTATGTGGAAAAAGATGAGTGACATTGTCCAACATTCATTGACACAATTTGTCATTTACAGCTCGGTTCTTTGGCTTTTAATTGAAAGCGTTTAGCAGACATCTTGTCTAGAGAGCAGAGCACTCATAAATCATTTCGGGCGCTGCTTCAAGGGGACCCCATAAGTAACGCCACATAAATAAAAGCGCAACGAAAGAGTGAAACAAGTATCGTGCGGCTGCAGGAGAGGCATTAACGAGAGGGAGAGGCAAAGAGATACCCCAACGATTTCCATCAGCAAATCAAACTATTCCGATATCGTTTGTGGCTCTATTTCTCGAAATACCAAATTGATTTCGGGCTGCGGGACACCCTAATGGGTTAACCTATTTGATGAACGTATTAGAGGCACTGCGCACTGCGATAATGTATCTAACAGATTCACACAAACATTCGATCCCTGAAATATAGAGCTGTTAAAAAGGGTCAAACTACTGTACAAATACTGGGAGTCATCAGTGCCAGCAGCAGCAGCAGCAGCTACAGAATGTTGGCATAATCCAAACATAAACTCGTAGAATTCCATCGTCCAGATACATTTAGGCAGTTAACTAAATAATCACATTTAAAAGGCGCCAAGTGGTTCCATAAACAAATATTTGAATTTGGGACGCTGTCTGTCCCTGTCTGTCTGTCTGGCTGTCTACTGTCTGGCTGCTAATGGACGTACGCTGCTCGAAATTTGGAATCGGTGAACCACATGCACCATGCACCATGCACCATGCACCATTCACCACTGTAAAGTAAATAATCGGAGGCCTCTGGGTGGGTGGGTGTGGGGCCCTACACTCTGGCATTTATTTCCTCCCAGGGTCTGTGCCAAATCAGTTCACGCTGTGCCACCAAATGAATGGAACGCAATTCCCAAAACCAAAAGGCCTCCCCCTTTGGAAATTCCTCCCATTTTTTTGAACTCATTCCCGCTGGCAACAGTTGCGTCTGCGCCTTGCTCATTTCGCAGTTTGGCTAACAAATAAAAAAATGTACACAAAAAATAGAAAACGAAGAACGAATCTTTTGTTCCACTCCAGAAAGAAGAAATTCAAAACCCGCTAAGGGTTGGATCAGCCGGGGGAAAAAAACAACACACACACACACACACACACACACACAGACAGAGAAAACTAAAAAGAACAATGCCTTAATAATGTTCGTACAACTAGAACGAGGGAGAGAAAGAGCCGTAGCTATGGGCATGGCCATGGCCATTGCCAGAGCGAGAGGCAGATTAAAAAGGTACCAAATTCCAAATAAAAAGGTAAAGGTTTCTGTATTTTTTATCATTAAAAGAACAAAACAACAGAACCAACACAGATTGAGGGAAGCGAGCGAGTGGCAGAGGGGCACCAACTGAGTCAGGGAATATTGCACAAAAGAGATTAAGTTCCTTTTTCTTTCCGATGCGATGCGATGCGATGCGACGCTGCCTCCAGGCGGCCCCGAGAAACAGAAACACAGACAGAGAAACGAACGCAAATGCGTAGAGCCCAGAGATATCTCTCCTATAGAGAAAGATGGCAGGGGAAGAAGATGAGAGATCCCAGCCCTGGCAAAGTGAACATTCCAGAGCCCTGCTCCTGCTGACAATACAACTGCGCAAGCGTAACCTTTCATACCTGATTATGAACCGCACCGAAGAGCTGAACCTCAGCCCAGCCCATACTCTTCTGCCTTCTGCGTTTCGGACGAAATCAGAAAATGCAATTTACGAAACAAAAACGAACAAAAATAAAACAGCCAGAGCCAGAGAACCAGACAAGGAAATATAGAGAAACAAAAGAGAGGGGGAGAAAAAGGGATGTTACTTGGGCAGCGGAATTGCCTTTTGTGCAGGGGAAAACCCAAAGAAAACCAAAATACATTGATTGGCATTAGGGCTTCACCTGTTCTCCTACCTGTTCACTTTTCCTGGCCCGTTGAAATGTTGTGACAAGTCCTAGGTAATGTCAAGGACAGCCAACTGCCGCAACGTTCAGAGGAAAACAGTGAGAAGAGACAGAGAGAGCGAGTGCATGTGATGGGATGATGAAATCAAAAATCATCGGGCACATTTAGCCGCACTTCATTAATCATCAGGCCCAAGCAGACAATCCTTCCTGCACCAGGCAGACGTGGCACGCATGGCCTGCAACTGCAATAAGCAGGAACCACAGGCAGGCACAGCCACAAGCAGCAGCAGCAGCAGCAGCAGCAGCAGCAGAGCAACAACCAGCATTGACAAGGAGACAATGGCCGAATGTTGTCAGCAGCGGAATCAACTCGTTGCATGTACAAACTATTAGCCAAACTGCCAGAAAAGTCTTGTCAAACCGCAACGAGGGATCGCAATCGGGGGGACAGACAGACAGAACCCAAAAGTCGACTGCCAAACGAGATGATTTTCATTAAAAATTACTTAAAATGAAATCATACAAATATACACATTCCGTTTTGGGCAGACTTTCCTTTGTCTTTCGGGGGGATCCTCAACAAAGACACAAAGCACATTAACCAATGGGGAGAAATGATAATAATCGTAATGCTGATGATGATCATCATCAGCAGAAGCAGAAGCCTCAGCAGACAACGAACTTTGTTGGATCCCCATTCGCATCCCATCGCATCTCGAGTATTTATACATATGGATGGTATATTCTCGTAGCATGTATTTATTTTTCTTATATTTTTTGTTCTTGTGGTCCATCATTTGCATCACATGTTTCTGGTTTTAAAGAGAAATTATAAAGCGTTTCCTTAGCTGCATCATTAGCAGCGCCAACACCAAAAGTCACCTAACTATGTATGCACGAGTTTATCATCCATCCAGTGAGCCAGCCAACAGAGGATCTCTCTTGGATCTGTCGGATCTGTGGGATCTGGCGACTCTTGATGAGGGGGAATCGCACCCAATGTCTGTGGCGTTGGCGTGGTGGCGCATTTTACGCAGTTGCTTAGTCCAAATTAAACTGAATTTATATATAGAGAGACACACAGAGTGAGAACGAAGAGATATATCTATGCAATCTATCTATATAAAATGCATCGGCATCATCATCAACAGCAGCGGCAACAACTGCTTCAACAGCAACTAAAAAAGTGCCAGAGCATTATTTTTAGCGTCCTCTTCTGGGGCGAGCCGACGACGATGTCTCCACTCTACTTCTCTCCGCCGATGTGCTCTCTGCCACAGTCGCTCGTTTGTTAAAATTCGATGGGCGAATGACATTTTTGAGTTATTTTTGTCAGCCCGACAACGACGACGACGTCGCAAACGACAACCCTGCTGGCCCCGAAATGGCCAAGTGCTCTCAGTTCTCAACCAAATTGAAACGAAATGCAAGCGACAACTTAGTTGTTGACGTTCAGCTCGATGAATGATCAACGTTGCCTCTCTCTCCCTCTCTCTCTCTCTCTGACTGCAATCTGCTGGCACCCGATCTGCTCTGAAGGAACACCCCGAACAGGGTTTTGAACTTTGCCAAATGTTCAACTGTGGCTGAAGATCAGTTAAAGGTGGATGGGTGATCAATCAATGAGCAAGGTGTGGAGTAGAAATGATGCGAAAACAGATGCAGATACGAACACAGATACAACTGCCAAAAGGTTCGATGATCGGGCCAAAGATCATGATCGCTTCGTGCTCTAGTTGGGCAAATGTGATCATGGTAAAGGTTCAGCTAACAAGCCATAGAAGTTCGACAAAAGCGTAGCTTTTAGGGCTGCTTATAAACTCGTAACTCATTCTTAGATCTTAAAGATTCCCGTTGAGACTTTATGAGACATTTCATTGACAATTCCGACAAGAGTTCATCAAAATCTCGCCCAGCCGGAGAGTGCCAAGATTCGCAGCTTCTTGATAAAAGTGTTTCTCCCCCCCGCGAGAGAAGATGGTGTTGTTGTTGTTGCTGCTTGTTGGGGTTATTGCCCATAGCAGGGGCCTGTCAAAATTCCAAATGGACCATAAATAAAAACATCATTTTTATAATATTCAACTGGCCAGGGCGGAACCGCATGAGGGGGCGTTGCAGTGGTTGTTTCTTGGCATTGCCAAAAATGTCACAAACCGTAGAATGGAGCCATAAGTTTTGCTCACTTTTGGCATCATCATCAACAACACAATCATCATCGGCATCGTCAGCGTCATCTCCTTGGTGCTCTGTTGTGCGCTTCTGTTCTCCAAGGCGATCTTCAGTGCCCCATAAAAATAGCTGCCCCAAACGGGGAGCAGGATGTACACCAGAGAGAGAGAAAGACAAAACGACTTGCAACATTATAATTTGTATGTTAAAACATCGTAAATTATTTAAATGTCAGTGTGTGGCAGCATGCTCTTCGCCTGCTCTGTTTTTATGAACTCCAAATGTTTAGGGGGGCGGGGCGGCCTACAGGGAGGAAGTGTCAAGTGTGGGCAGCGCCAGGCTGGAGTCGCCTCGCATATTTGTGACATATGGCGGCAAGACATTGTCAGCGGAGACTGTAATTAAGTGCAGACTGCCCCGTTCCTTGAAGCTGGGACAAAGAGAGAGGCAGGAATCGATCCCAAGCCAAAAACAAAAACCAAAACCAAAACCTAAACCGAAAGAAACCGAACTGAAGCTGAAGCGATCCTCTTCGTTGGGTAACGTAATCCGATCATTTAGCGGCTTGCTTCGTTAAGTTCGTGTGCCGCGATTTAGTGCCACATGTGGGCCATGTGTTCCCACAGAGACGACTCCAGTATGCCAGCCTCGTACTCGAGGCAGGAGAGCGAAAGAGAGAGAGAGAGACTCTGCAGATCTCAAATTACACGGAGAGAGAGAGCGGGAGTGGGTGTGGAGGGGGCTCAAAAGTAGATCCATTATTCTTACCTGTTTACTGAACATTGCAATATCCTCGTTAAACGATTCCGATGAACAAACATCGCCACCTTGCACCCCGGGCTCCCTCGGCGTACATGTGGCCAATTCGCATTTCTCGAATATGAGCGCCAATAGCGGGAATAGCGGATGTCTGTAAAGAGAGAGAAAGAGAGAGAAATGTCAGTTTAAGCAACATTTCAGGACAATTGCCTGTCCCGATCCTGCAAAATGCAAATGAGCAGCCGCCGCATAGAGAAACAGCTGCTGACCCTTGGCTGCCTTGGCCACTGCTGCTCTATCTGCGAGTATATCTAAATAAATAATCCCCCTTGGGCCACTTGGACTCTTTATGCTGACGGATTAGTTCGACAACTCAACATGATTTGACCATTTTTTGTTTGCAGCAGAGGTCTGCTAGTATTTCCTTTTCTACTGTTTTTTGTTCTCTTTTCCGTTCACGCTTAGAGCCGCACAAATTGCACCTGAACAAAATTAGGAGGGCTTGGTCCCTGTCCCTGTCCCAGTCCCTTGGCCGAAAAACCCATTAGATGGCACAAAAAGTGACCAGCGAGGAGGGAACCAGAACACAGAATACGCCAGAACCCAGAGGGGGTGTGGACCTGCGCTTAACAAACTATTAATAAGACTCGGACTCGGACTCGGCCTCGGACTGGGTACGTTCTCTCTCAGCCTTTTACAGTTGAGTGCGTTTCCAGTTTAGGATCAGGAACAGAACAAAAAGTAAAACCCAGAACAGAAACAGAAACAGAAACTGAAAATGAAAATGAATTTCTGTGGCACTCATTTGCCATGACTAAGCAAAAGAGCAGCCAGCCAGCAGCTGAAGTTGTTCTGCGCACACGATAAGGTGTTAAAGGAGAGTGTGTGTGCTCCTCTCCTGCCGCCGCTCTCCCCTCTTTTTTTCCATAAAAATTAATTTAAATTTCATACACTCGTACACGATGGGAAAAGGTGCCAAAAAATAATAATAATCATAACAATGTTGCTGCAGCACACAGGTGCCCAATGAAGTCATAATCATCATCATCATCCACGGGGGGAACCTTTGTTTGGCCAGACACTCGAGATGGACGGACGGACAATCATCAAACAGTCATCAAACAGCTGATGGATGGGCCAAGTCATTCATGAAATTCACTGTGTGTCTCTCCCTCTCACGACAAATATTTGCTTAAATAAAAAAATGCAGCAGCAGCAGCAGCAGCAGCAAGAGCAAAAAAAGAAGGCCGCAGCGATCGAAAGACAAACAAGCATTTCAGGCAGTCAGGCAGCTGGCAAAACAGTTGCAACACATGAAAATTGGCAGTCCAACAGGACACGCAATGACACAAGGGACTCATCTGCTTCGATCATGTTAGAAAAAACGAAGAGAGAGATAGAGCCATACAAAAAGATCAAACAAAGAAGAAACCACAATTTTGGCAAATTAACACCCAGGAACCGCAAAGGGAACAACGCAACCGCAACAACTGCAGCTCATTTTGGCTGGATGGATGGATGGATGGTTGGATGGTTGGACTGGGGAATGGCCTGTGACTGGAGTGACTCCCTAATGCCTAAGCACGTTCATGTTCCGTGTCCGTCACTAAACTCTTGCCACACCCCCACAGAGCGACAGAGCAGACATTTTGGTCGAGCCAAACCCATAATTTTGTATTTTGCGCAAAACGCACAAGGATCACGCCCATTTCTATAAAAAAAAGGATCGCTTGCCTCTTGCAACCTCTTCGATTTTGAGCAGAGTTACGCGTGCGTTAAAATGATGTCGACTCCCTCGCTCGAGGTGAGAACAGGTGGCGGATTGGGTCGCAACCACTCGAACATGCCCAAAATTATTAATCAACTGGGAGGCGAACGAACGCTTGATTGAATTGGGAAAGGGTTCGGAAATTTATTGAGTGGTTTAATGGATCACCAATCAATAGGGGTCTAGGAAAATTAGGAATTTTATAATTTTAGTGATCATGTGAGCTAAATGTTGATGGAAGATCCCCATATACGTATGTAAGTGGAAACTTTTCACATGAGCGGATCTCAAGTCAATAAATACTACAGTCCTTTTGCTAATCTACGATTTATTCGTGCTTGAAAATGGACAGTAATCTTTGCGGATCTATTTGAAATAACTTTGATGAATATTCGAGCTCGTCTTTATGAATGTAATGTAAATCTTTTTAGTGATCATGTGAGTGGGTTCCAAGTTCTATAATACGAGTGTTTGTGTACTTTAAATGATGTTCAAAAGTCCGTTGATTATTTCATTGATTGTCGTTGGCAGCAGCCTGACAACACATGAGAAATGGGATCATCAGCGATAGTTTTGGACAATCTTGGTGTAAATGTTTTTCCTAATACCGCGCTCAATCAATTTCATTTCTAATCAGTCTTAGATGACCCCAACAAAGATCCCCATCTTAGGTGATTATTTACAGCCAACCAAATCCTCCAATGAATGAGCTAAGCTGAGGTTTGGTTAAGCTTTTTTCTGGAATCTAATGTGCGCGAGATACTTACTCATAAATCGCATCCTTATCACGTTTGTGTACTTCGGGTATTGCGCCCATTAGGTGATTACCAACCGGTGATACATGACTAGGTGTACCATGACCCCCGGCACCCGAATGGTAGCCGTGCATGCTGACTGTTGCCGCAGCCGCCGCGGCATGCGTCATGTGCGGTGAGTGGTGCGAGGGGAGGCCTTGCAGGCCGGGCGGCCTATGTCCAGCATGTGGATCGTACATAGCCGCCGCCGCGGCACCGGAGTCCATGCCGTAGCCGTGCAGGCCATCATCATACTGCAAAGAACACAAAGACCACATAATACAGATTAGTTTCAGAGTAACAAAAGAGTAGTAGGATGGTTGTTGAAGTGTTGTTCCCAGCCAAATTAGACAAAAAACCAAAACAGCAAGCAAAAAATCTAAATATATGCATTTAAATATTTGTGTGTGGCCAAAGCTGAAGACTCACACAGGAAAAAAAAAACAAAAAAAAAAAAAACAAAAAGCGATTCGCGTTGACCTTGTGATTACTTTGCCGCCGCTTCGACATTGTATGGATATATACCCACGTACATATGTATATATTCATATACATATACCTATTCATACATATATTTAGTTACCTCGTCTTCGCTCGTCTTTTCTTTCAACGTTTTTTGCATATTAATTAAGCGCCAAAAGCAGCCAACAGCCATATGGCAACAACAAAGAGACAATTTTGAATGTTATCAGTTAATCTCTCTATATGTATGTATACATATCTATATCTATATATATATCGTAAGGGTACTCGAACAAGTGTATATCTTTGTGTGTGATTGCTCTCTATCTCTGTCCAAAGTTGTACAACAGTTTGTCTGAGTCCGCGCAGTTGCAAACTGGTTTGTGTGCAACGGCAACCACAGTAGGAGGTACTCGCACTGCTCGTACCCTTTTTTGCAGAGGGTATTCCCCAGTGATGGAATATATATTCCAATCGAACATTTGCACATTCTTCACCATCAAACCCCAGCCAGGGTATCTTTAGTTTCGGCCATTGTGGTGGCTGTCACTTGACAAAAGTTCAACTGCTGCTGATGCCTTTGATTCTTTCTCGTTGGCCGTAGTGTGGTGTGTGCGTTTTTTGTAAGATTTTAATCATTTGTACTCAAGTGGCGTCCGTCGCCTGAGAAGCTACTCTGCTCCTCTTCACACTGCATAATTTGAGACAAGTTTGGTTGGTGCGAGAAAGACAGAAGATAGAGAGAGAGAGAGACAGGGAGAGAGAGAGGGGGGAAGAGAGGCCGAAGAAGTTGACAAAAAGATTTTTGTGCAGCGACAAGAAATGATGGTGGGCCTGTGCCTTTGCCCCGTCTTCATACACACGAAAAGTCTCGCCAGCAAGTTGGAGTTTTATTTCTTATCAGCCTGGAAAAATCTTTGACACTAAATGAGCAATTGACTTGAGCTGGAGTTGAAGCAAAAAAGACAGACAGGGAGCAAAGCCACGCTTGACTGAAGATTTTGAGCGAAATGTCAAGGATTTGCACCTGGAAGCCAGAGCTGTATGCATGCATGTATGTGGTGTATCTGCGACTGTGCATCTGTATCTATACTTTGAAATAGTGCAACTGGCTCATAAAGCAGCTGCCTCCGTTTTGCTGCTGAAGCAGTGGCAGTGGCAGTGGCAGTGGCAGTGCCACCTGCAAGCCCCGAGTTGACTTCAATTCGATTGTCAACCTTTTGCAACGTTTTGTTTTCGCTCTGGCAATCCTTTAGATACACACAAAAGATTAGTCTACTGAGGAGGCAGCGAGGCAGCGAGGCATCGAGGCAGTAGTCGTGCAATGCTGCTGCCGTTTGGCGTTGGTGTTGGTGTTTGCTCTGAGCCTGAGCCTGAGTCTGAGTCTGAGCCTCAGCCAGAGCGGGTGTATGCAAGATACAAGCCCATAGATACAACCGCACAGCACAGGCCGTGCGGCCGGGTTAGTTCAGCTCAGATCAGCCGGGGTTCGAGTCGACTCCAATCCAATCCAAAGCAATCCAACTACACACCAAAGCAGTCGCTTCGCTTCGCTTCGGTTCGGTTCGGTTCATGGCAGTTAAACTATAAAGTTGTTATGCTAATTTTAGTGTTGGTGGCAACCGTACGTTGTCGCTGCTGCTTTTCGAAATGAGGAAATTGTGGAGCAAAAGCCGTGCCAACAAAGAGATCTTGAAAATTACCACAATTTGTACTTGTACATAAGTAATGTGGGAATTTGAGTAACAGAGAAGATGTACATGGCAGTAGAGGGAGAGCGGAGAGTGGAGAGCGGAGAAGGTTTCTCCCCTGGCAGACACCAACAAAAGAAGAGTAAAAATCGAACAGGCAAATACACTTAGACCGCTCTGGGCCATCCTAACCATTTGGGCCAACTTTGATTGATGATCTCTTTCGGCTCAGACCTCAGACCCCATTTCGCTCCCTCTCTCTCTCTCTATCTCTCTCTCTCTCTCTTACTTGCTGTCTTTCTCTGGTTGTTGTTTAGTGACCAAGCCATTGACCTTGTTGAATGGCGGCTCTGGTGGAAAGCTCTGTAACTGACAGGAGGGCAAAGTGGGGGCACACTGAACTGTACGATTGTGCGAGTGTATGTGTGTTTGTGTGTTTGTGTTTGGATATTGATCCACCCAGAAAAGCAACCACTGAAAAGCCAACAGTAAACAGTCGTCCGAGGAGGCCGGCATTTCATTCTGGTCTGATTTTGACAAGTTCAGCGTCGAAAATCCTTCAAAAATTTATGACGCCCCCTGGCCACACATAGACAGTTGGCAGAGGGGGCAGAGGTAGAGGCCCATCCGACCCGACTGCCACTGACAGGCGCTGAAGGAGCTGCGTCGCAGAGTGTTCGGGTAACCAGGCACAGTCGGGGGGCAGTTGCTAGTGCCGGGCCCGGGCTCTTGTCCTACTTGCTGTTGTCTGTCGCTGTGCCTCTGTGTGTGTGTGTCTGCTTTTGTCGTGTTTGCGCGACATTAAGTCATACTTATCCAAAAAGCCTACTGCACTCCTGGCACCCCACCGCCCGCAACAACTCAATTGAAGCACAAAAATCTTTAATGTTGAACAGAACAATATGTATTTTGGCTTTAAGTTTGTGCCACAATGGTGGCAAGAAGGGGGTCTGTGTTTGTGTGTTGTGTGTTGTGTGGGTGGCTGCAACAAAATGTTGCGTGAACTTGAAACCGAAAACGTTGCACGACACGGCACATGGGCCAAAATAGAAACACAAGCACAGGAAACAGCAACAGCAAGGACATTTAGTGGGTGAGAGAGCAGAGGGGGAGTGGGACAATGGGGGCCACCTTTATCTGAGCGGACGCCCGAAACTGACCAAAAGCCAGACACCCGGGCGGGGGGAGTGCCGGAAAGGCAGGAGAGTTATGAGTGCAAAAATGCAGCCACGAGAGAGAGAAACATACTAGGGCCACCGCTACCTCTCGCTCTCTCGGTCTCTCGCTCTCTCCCTCTCTGGCTCCTGCTCAGGCCTATGTGCACGTGTGTGCGTTCGTTTTAGCCAAAATGGTGACAATGGCCGCCATTTTACATAGTCATGGTCGTAGTCGGAGCTCCCCCGACTGCCACACTCCCACCTCCCCCGACAAAAGCCTCAATATGTTTGCTGAAACTCCATTTCTATATCGATTTCTTGGCCTTCTTTCTCCACAACACTTTTGCTTTTCCTATTTTTTGTGCTTGTTGTATTTCCATTCCCAACAACGAACAAATGGGGGACGCGGGGAATATTTTGAAACCCGCAACATTCTTAATTGCGATGGCGCGGCCAAAGGCCTAATCAAAATTAATTGTTTATCATGTTGTATTTGAATTTCTTTCCATTTCTTTGTATTTCTCTATAATTCTTTTTTCGGGGCTGTTGTCTTTCTTGACTTTTGCTTAATTAGCAGACGAGCCGCAGTCCGCGGCTGTTGGTTGTAGGCTGTAGGTGTGTCCCAATCCCAATCGAATCCCTCGCGATACTCCCGTCTTCTATCTGCTGTCACGCCCAGTTCTGTTTCTGTTTTTGGGCCGCCTCAAAAGTTTTATTTGGTGTTAGACAATTAATTTTTGTTGCGTGTCTGGGTGTTATTTTAATTTACAGTTGCAGGCACATTTCCAACCAACATTTCGAACACAACACGCTCTCTGTGGCATAGTTTTTCTGCTCTGCGTTTTTTATTATTCACTTTTATTGCTTCTAATAACAATATTATCGAGCAGGCGGACTTCAAACGTTGAAGGGGGTTTGAGCGGTTTGTCAACGGCCCAAAACGTGCGCTCATTTTGTTGTTCCTTTTGCTCCCAAATTTATGTCTAAAAACAAATACTTAACCCAGCAAAAAATACGCAGAAATATATATAAATAAATATAAAGCAGCAGAATTAGATGCTCGGTAGCCAAATAGCTTCCAGACCAATGGCAGAATGGCAGAATGGCAGAATGGCTGAATGGTGGAACAAAAAATGCAAATAAATGTATTCTTTGGCGTTTGAACATTTATCAAAAATCAACAACACATGACGTCAGTCTGCGGCATTTATTAAATTAAAATGAGCCCCAAACTGGCAGATGATTAACAAAAAACCAACAAAAACACAACAGCAGCAGCGACAGCGGCATTTGTCCAAAAGGGTATATTCAAATTTCGTGTTCAGACAAAAACAAGACACAAAATTCGATTCAAAAACAAATTTAAAGACACTGAATATTTTTTAGAAACAGAAATTAAGCAGAGAATTTTTTAAGAATTTGTGGGGAAATATTTTAAATTGAAATTGAAGAGGAAAATGTATTAAAAATGTATTAAAAATGCAGAATGTTTGGAATGTAGACTGATTTTGAAAGTGTTTTGGAGACACAAATGTAGTTGATGTCTTAAGAATCGCCAGCCAATGATAAAACCACCCAAGCGGCAATCTTTCTTGGCTATCTAATTAAATTTCCAGGTCTCGAGGACCCTTGAAACTTTCCAAACAAAAGCACTCTCTTTCTACCATTTGAGGCTCCAACAAAAAGCCAAAAGAAAGCTCTTGGAGTGTTTGGCATTCGCCGCGTCTCCTGGATGGGGCCAAAACAGAAAAAAAGTTACTCAAAAATACGAAAATAAATTGCGTGCTGATGGCTCATTTAATTTAATGAGCGGCGTGCAACTTGTCTAAATGATTTTTCCTCTACTTTACAGCAGTTTTTTTTTGTTAATTTTTCAGAGTTTTTTGTTTGGCGCTGGCCCGCATGGAGGGCAGCCAGGCAGGGCACCCTTTCATAGATGGATCGAATCTCTACGAGATCTCTAAGAGTTTTCTGAAAAAATGTAATTTAGTTTTACTTGAAAATTAGCGAAACACTTTGGCTTAATGTCAGGGAAATTACACACACACACAACACACAAAAGGAAGAGGCGAAACAGATTATTTAAAATACTTTATAAGACGATTTAGGCGTAAATGTAAAAAGAAATGAAACTAATGAAAACACTTCCAACGGCAGCCAGCAGCGGCAGAGGCAGAGGCAGAGGAGGCAGGCAACATACTGCGGCGACCTCGTCAAACTTGGCAACTATGTGTACCTACAGCAACAACAGCAACAACCAGAGCACCAACAGGCACCACACAGCCGACGACCCAAGAACGAGGCACGCAATTTGATCATTAAACATGAAGCTCTTTAGCACACGAAAAACAACATCGACAAGAGAAAGAGACAGGCACAGGCACAGAGATGGGGCAAGTGAAAGAGAAAGAGAAAGAGCAAGAGAGGCAGCAAGCCACAGCTGAGGAGCAGCTCATGTGGATAGGCCCCATATAGAGCCTGGCAAAAATATGCATATGTAATTTGTTTATAAATATTCCTCGCAGCCTGCTGGCCTGAGAGAATTCCCAACTTTCGTTGAGAAACTAAACTAAACCGAGATACATATGCCTGATAACCGGGCCCAATTCCAGTCCCAGTCACAATCCCAGTCCCAATCCCAGTCCCAGCTATAACTGATCTAAAGATACAAAGTAGAAGCTCTCTTCTGGATCCACGATGACTCACGGGGAAGCTGAGTGTCTCAAGAATTTCTCACTTAATTAGAAAAGAATTTCCAGCGAAGGTTAACCATCTCAGGGAGATTAAACGTAGATAGAGAATCACTGGAGAAATATCACTAATGAAATATATAATAAAAAAAAGATAGAGATTTCAAATTAAACTTCACTTTCGGAACGAGGTATTCCTTACATAATGAAAGTGGGAAAAGTATAAGAAAAATAATGGAATAAATTATTATATTAGGAAGGAGTTCTTTCAATCTCATAAATTCCTGTTCAGTATTGCCGCAAAATCTTTCAATCAACTTTTCGCCAAGTGTGTTCGGCAGAAATCTAACAAGTAACGGCCCCACGTTGCACATCGAATGGCATTTGCAGCATGCCGCGATGCCCAACCGATGCCTTTCTATTTTGATTTTATTTCTGCAAAAAAAAACAAATAGCGGCAAAGCAATCACAGAACAAACACACAGCGAGAACGAGGGGAACACACACTAGACGAATTATACTTTATGCCACAAATTACGCTGCGGTTAACCTTTAAATTAAAATAACACCAAAACAATTTTTGTGCTGCATTTTGCAGGCGTTTGAAACGGCACGGAAGAGGCCGGGACAGTGGCACGAGGAGTGCCAGTGCCAGGGACGGGGTGGCTAGGTGCTTGTGGCAGCTGCACATTGCACATTTATATACAAATTGCAATTGCACTTTTTCCACTGGCTCTCTCTCTCTCTCTCTCTTTGTCGCTCTTTGTAAAGGCATAAAATAATCAAATTAAATATATATAAAAATGCATATGTGAAAAAAAGAGCGCTTCCCGCCATTTTCCGGCACGCACAAATGTCCAAAAATTATAGTAGAGTCATGGAAAATTATAAAAATAAAATTGTAAATAATAAAACCGCAAAAAGAGAGCGGGAAAGGGAAAGATAAAGAGAAAGAGAAAGAGAGCGACAGCGACAGAGACAGAGGGAATGAATGAATGCCAGCCACGGCCTCAGCCTCTTTTCGCTCATGTGCAATAAAATTATATGCATCAAATGCACACAGAAACAGATACAGACACCCTGACACACGGGATGCAGATACAAAACAGACGTGGAACCCGTATGTATATTGTGCCCAGAGTAGAAAAATTCAGTTGATGGAATTGAAATGGCGCGATTCGGCCAAACAGCCGCAGGAGAATAGCGAAAACAGACAACGGGCAGCAGGAAAAAAGAGGGTACGGGACAGGGACAGGGACAGGGACAGACTCGTGTATTAAACCACAAGCGTAAATTTATTCGCCAGTAACAGCAGCAGCAGCAGCAGCAGCACACACATGAAAATCACCACACAACATTCCCGCGGGCATTTTCACATTTTTCGTTTTGTATATTTCATTTGGATTTTTTTTTTTGTATTTTTCTGTCTTTTAATGCTCCCAAAGAGCTCGGCCTACCTATGGCCAGTCATAATTCACTCTCCACATGCAAACACAAACACAAACGTAGATGTTAATTGCTAACACACATACGCACGAACACACTCACGCACAAATATCGAGAGTAGAGTCTGTGCTCCGTTTAATAAAAATCAAGTTCACTTCGCAGGTCCATGTTAATCAATTGATAAACTCGAAAGCAACAAACCAAAAAAAAAAATAGTAAAGAGGCAACTGCTCTAACTGCGATTTGGCAGAGATGGTTGGTCACCTGATTAGCATATTATTTATGATCCATATGAGTGGTAAAACATAAACGGTTCACCATACTTAATCAGATAAACCATATGCGAGAATTGTGGGCAAAAGGTAATGGAGAGCAGATTTACCCAAATGTGAATTGCTCAGCAAGTAAAATTACTAGAAGGAATATATCATAAATAAGTTTGATCTCTTACTGCAAGTTACTGGAAGTCTATAAATGGATTAACGATTCAGGGAGGGAAATTATGTTCTTTGGAATCTCTGTGGTTGTTATGAAACGTTGAAGTTAATCCGTCGGACTTTCAAGTGTGCATATATTAGGACACAGATGTTTGGAGGTAATCCTGAGAAGATTCCTAATGGTACGAATACCTTTTTTGAAATTAAATGGCATAATAGCATTTCTATGAACTGATTTAATAGAACCCTAAGTAGGAATATTTTGGGCATTCCATAATAAGTTTTCCACCAGAATACCAAATATCAATTCAACTACTTAATTCCATACACTTTTATGAGAAAATGACCAGCATAAATCATATTTGAGTGAGTCTCTGGTATGAGAGTACCCCCCACACACACACACACACACACAACTCGATTAATGTGGCTCCAAGATTGAAAATTTCACTACATGCATATATAAAGAGTTTGGGAATTGTCAGATAACTTGCTACCACACACTTTGCTGATAGTTGTTGGTGCCGACGGCATTTGATTTGAACCAAAAATAAAAGATTTATGCATTGGACGTTGCCGTCGCTAATTTGGCTGGGCATAACAACACTTCTGGGGATTTCCCTATTTAAAGTTTAGGGAATTTTCGGATGGTACTTACCCTGGGCTGAGCCATTAATGCTCTGGGAGCGACGTCTAACCCGATTTGTGCCACTTTTGGTGTAGAGAAGACTGTGGGGCGACACAACACACAATTCGACGGCGGGGCCCGCGTCCCTTGTGTCCGGTCCTCGTTGTGGTTGTTTCTCTGGTTGTTCTTCCAGTTGTGGCTCCTCGGGGCTTTGGGCTCTTATGCTGGCAGATCTGTTTGTTAGGGACCTCCTGGATTGGGGTCTCTGGAATTTCTGTTTATGTTTCTCCACTCAAAAATAGTGTTACGAGGGGAAAATCACGTTGTTTTTCCGGCTTTTCTTTAGGGGAATTTTGCTTTTGCTTTTGCTTTTATTTTGTTGTTGTATTATTTTGCACTCTTTTACAATATACTTCTACATCTGCTTTTCTCTTTTATTCTTTTCTTTTAACACAGGCACATTTGTTAAGATTTATTTTATGTATTATTATTACGTTATTTGTTGTTGTTGTTGCTTGTATACTTGTTGTTGTTGTTGTTGTTGTTGTTGTTACGCGCGCGATGTTGTTGCTTTTGTTGTTAAGCGGGGGAGATCTCTTGCGAACTTTTAGTATTTCCTTTTTCCTTTTCTTTCGAATTGCGTTAAGTGAGTTCTTTTGTTGTATTTACATCTAATAATGTTTTGGTTTATAAAAATCGTATACAATTTGTTGTTTTTGTTGCTTTAGTTGCTGTCCTTAGTATACTGCTGTATTGTTGTGGCTGTTGGTGCCACATAATTTTGCAATTTGTTGTTGTTGTTTCTTGCCGTTGTCTGCAGTTGTCATAAATCCATGGCTCGACTACAGGCAGCTTCCTCTTCGATCGATCCTCGTCAGATTACAGATTACAGATTACAGATTTTCAGATTGATTTCCTTTTCCGCTTTCCACTTTCCGTTTTGCTTAGGGGTTTAGTGGTTGTTGTTGTTGTGGTTGTTTGTCGTATACTCTTTTTGCTTTTCGTATAATATGCGCACTATTTATCACAGCTGCTTCTACATACTATATATGTAACTAGATCCTGAACCAAAATGAAAACGCAAAAAACTTTAGTTGCTGTCGTCGTTGCGGGGCAAGAGTCTTTTACGATTTAGCGACGGCACAACACAACAATAAGTGCTGTTTGCTTTTCTCTCTCTTGTGGGTGGCTCTAGAGAGGGGGACAGCTACGGCTACGGCTACGGACAGGGGATCGTCGGGATCCCCTCTGCAACAGGAACGTACCCGTTGAAACACGCGCTTCTACCCTTTGCAGCTCATTTAGAGTATTCTTGTTCGATGGATGCGATGCGATGCAATGCGATGCGACTGCTGTGAGCTGGTACCGTTAAAACGAAACGTAAACGTAACCGTAACGCGGGAACCCGATCCGTTGCGCGCGCGATTTTTGCGATTTCTTCGATGAAATTGATGCGTGTTTTGTTCCTCTTGTTTTTTCGCTCAGTTCTTGTATTTTCGGTTGCGGTGCGGCGGCAATAATAATACGAATAATAAAATGGCGCTCCGCGGTAGGCAATAATAATAATAGAACAGTAATAATAATAATTCTTTGCTCCCAACGACCAACGAGACTTCGCTACTCGCTTCGCACACGACACAACACAGAGGAGGCACAACACGTCGGCACGAAAGCAAAAGATACACTGTCATTGTCAATCATTCGCCGTGGTGCCGGCCTGTTTTCGGAGAGTGTTGGCTGAGCAAGAGAGAGAGGGAAGTCCCACACACACACACACACACACACACACGGCGACGCAACAATTGTGCCATTAAAATATACTGGCAGTGGAAGCGGGATGGCCATACAGCACTCGCGTTGCCACTTCTGGTTCCCCTGTGTGTGCTTGTTCTTGTGTGTGTGTGTGTGTGTGTTGCATCTGTGTATGCGGCGAAGAGAGCGCATGCGCTGATCGCACGATGACTGATTTGTTAGTACGCCTTTTCTGTCATACACACACTTGTCACAGAGTCGAGTCGAGTCGAGTCGAGTCTCTCTGCCGCTGTGCTCTCTCGCCGCCTTTTGGCCGTGTGTTTTTTGCCTCTTTTTGCGCAATGTTTCGCTTCGTTTTCTCTGTTTCTGTTTCTGCTTCTGCCCTGGCTCTGTCGTGCGTTCGTACGTTCGTTTGAAATTTATTTGGCTTTGGCCAAAAGGAGACGGCTTATAGGTTTTTGGCTCTCTGCTGCTGTCGCTGCCGCCTGCTCTGCCACAGCCACTGTCGCTGCTGCTTTTGCTTCTGCTGTTAGCGTTTCTCTGGTGCGTGCGTTGAAAATCAGCAAAAACCAATCCCATTTGTTATTTTCGCTTGAGTGAGTGGCAGTTTGCATCAGTTTTGCCATTCAGTCTTGTGCGCTCTCAGCGCCCGCCCCACCTGTGCTGCTGCTGCTGCTTGGCCGCTGCCGTGGCTGCCCATCAGCGGGGTGGGTGGGAGCTTCGAGTCCGAGTACGAGTACGAGACCGAGTCCAAGTCAAAGTCTCGTTGAGTGCTTTCAGGTGTTTCTCCAGACGCTGTCCGTCAGTCAGCTTTCGCTCAGCATTTTTCAACTGCTGCTGCTGCTCTCTTTACCAGCACACACAACGCACTCACTCAGCTCTCACACACACACACACACACACACACACTCGTGTACGCACTCCCTTTCTCACTCTCACACACGGCAGCAGCGACTAAGGCAACGCCTTCGAAGAAAGAGTGAAAAGGAAAGAGCAACAACAGCTTGGTGCATGCCTCCCAGCCACCCAAAAGCCACCCAGCACCCCACACAATATACAAAAGCTGTCGCCGATCTGGCCACTCAGGCATTGATCCTGCCAGAACAACAAAGGAGAACAGCTGTTTGGGGGCATCCATCCCCTCCACTTCCCTCAACTACACCTCGATTTCTCTCTCTATCAGCGTCGCTCTTTGGGGAGCCAAAAATTGCATATCCTGTAGGTCTGCTGCTGGCTCCTGGCTCCTGGCTCCTGGCTCGTGGCCCATCATCCTGTCTGGCGCTTTTTACAGTTGTTGTTGTTGTTGTTCGTGTCGTCGTCCTCGTGGCAGTTTAAAAAGCAGTTAACACATATTCCCAGGCAATTTTTCAACAGCGTATTTTTGGTTTTGGCGCTGCAGCAGCAGCAGCAGCAGCAGCAGGCCATTACGTGTGGGGCAGTCGGAGGCGCCGTTTTTAGGAAAATGAAAAATAGCCTTGTTTGTTTTCCCTCTCTTCCTGAGGCGGCAGCAAAGGATATCCTGCGGACTGGCCAGAAGATGATGTTGCACTTAATCTGGCTGCCATTTCATTCCATCTTTGATCTTAAGTGCGATGCCATGGGACGTTCTGTTGGGCATTGTATGGCATTGGGTGGGGCGCTTTGGCCAGTGGGGTCTGTTGGCTGTCAACGCTCGGACAAATTTATGAGACTGTGATGGATTTGCGGCTGCTCTTCTTTCTTCTTTATCAGTTTTCTCTCTATGCCTCTCATTCCCTCTTGCTTTAGTCTTTTTTTTAGTCCTCCAATTACTTTGTTTTGGCAAAAATGCAAAAAATCAAGTAATTTATGCGCAACGAAAATCAAATCAAACGAAATCAATTAAATGCAATAAATTAAGGTAAATCTCTCAGCGGAGGGTGTAGAGAAGAGCGGCTGATTGATGGGAGAGGGGAAATCAGGGTGAATCAAGAGCCTTCGGTAAGCGTGGGAACTATTTTTTTCATGGACATTGGCCAACAATTTATGTGCCACTGAACGACATTTCGGTAACATTTCGAGAACAGCAAAATAATATATTCAACATAAAACATAAAAGAACTAAAGAAAAAATATCAATTCAGCAAAAAGCAATTAAAAGTTATTGTAATGAATATTTTCAATTGCACAGAGCAAGAGCGGAAATAATTGTAAACTCTTGTAGGAAAAGTAGAGAGAAGGCTTAAGGAATATTTATTTAAAAATAAATTAAAATAAATATTAGAAATTGAATACATTTCGTGGTGTGGTTTATGTGGTTCATAAAATATCTGTAAAACCAACGAATTATTTAACAAATAATCAAATAAATGTAATCGCTCCTCTTTACTGCCAATGAGCGGCATTTAAGTGGACGGGCGTCATCTGTCCTTTAAGAACTTTAACTTAGCGACTTAGCGCAGTCTTGGGTTCCATAATGAATACTTTAGCAATTAACTATACGTGTCGTATTCGTATTCCATGAATAAATTCCGAAAATAAATAAAAACGGTTGCAAATAGCATTTTTGCCAATAAGAAATGAAAACTCAAGAAAAGTTAAGGAATTTCATTAAGAATTGAAGGGACCATGAAATTTAAATCAGCCAAAAAAATAAAAAGGAGCAAAATAATGAAGCAGGAGGCTGGGCCTCCACCCACCAGAGGGTGGAAGAGAGAGAGAGCGCCGGCGAAGAGGGGAAACGACTCGAAGGAAAAACCTCAAGGAAAATTGCATTTGGAAGCTTCCAATCCCAGACGAGAGGCTGTCGCTGCTTGTCGGGTGGGGGAGGAGTGGAGTGCCAAAATGTGGCTCTCACCCATACAGGGGCGCACACACGCACACACACTAATGCCGGGCAGCCAATATGATTTAAAGCAGAGGCAGCGCCGTCGACAGCGACAGCAACGGCAACGGCAACGGCAACGGCAGCACTGGTGTTGTGTGCATGACAATTCATCTCTTTCTTATAAACGCAATTTATCAAATGGAAACGACGAGCGAGCGACAGCAAAGATGAAGACGACGACACGATATCAAGTGATGAGCAGGACAGACTCTGCTCCACAGCGTGAGTGAGAGAGGGAGAGGGAGAGGCAGCTACTAAAACTCACTCAAAGCGCAACATACAAAAAAATGGCACAAGAGAAGAAAAATAGGAGTTGGTTGTTTTGAGACAACTTCTCTCCGTTGTTCCTTTGCGTTTTCGCTGTCGTTTTTTTGCGCTGTGACTGGAACCGCCATAATCTTGACAGACAAGTGCTGTCCGCTCTCTCTCTCTCTCTCTCTCTCGCTCGGTCCCTCTCTCAGCAGCACACGCACACAGATGCACACGCGCGCGCGTTCTCTTCGCCGCACTCTTAATGGTTTGTTTTTGTTTTGTGTTGAATTCGCCGCAGGCACGCGAGAGCGGGACAGCATGTGCACCGCCTTCGCTGGCGCACGGGCCAGAGCGAGACGGTCTCTGTGTTTTATGGCCACGCATCAGCTGTTTACAGTTCGAGAGCCACTGGATAGGCCGCGCGCGATGCCAGTTCCGATTTTCGATCAGGATTCACATTTACCTGCAAATATTTACCTGTGCAGCGGTCCTTCTTCGTTTGAATTTCGCGTACTTCGTTTCGTTTTTCTATACGTTTCCTACGTTTTTGTGACTTTCAACGCTTCTACAGGGCCCATAAAAGGCTTAGGACACTTGTCCGCAGAACTCTACCTGATCCTGAGACCCGTCCGGGGTGTCTAAGCAG